CCCTGCAGGCTTTTCCCAAATTTCAGCTCTCCTGGAGCCCCTTCAGGCCCTGGAATGTGCTGGAAGCTCTCCCTGGATCCTTCTCCTCTCCAGGGGAACATTCCCAGCTCTCCCAGGCTGGCCCCAGAGCAGAGGGGCTCCAACCCTACAGCAGCTCCATGGATTCCTCTGGATTTGCTCCAGCAATTCCTTATGTTGAAATCCCAGGGCTGGACTCCATGTGGGATCACCTGAGTGGAACAGAAGGGCAGAATTCCCTTCTCCTGCTGCCCACACTCTGGATCCAGTTGGATTTTTGGGAGAAATCCCAGCCCTATCCCTGCTTCTCCCTCGCCTCTCCTAGAAGTTGTAAATTACTGCTCCGCTCTTCCCTTAGGGATGGGGATTTCTGGAAACAGAAAACAAGGATTCTCCCCAGTCCCAGATGAAAGCCTGGGGAGGCCCTTTGGAGCTGAATTGCCACAAGTCCAAAGGCAGCATTCCAGAGCTGGGAATTGGTGCTGTGCCAGCCTGGAGCTGAGGCCAAGATTCCACGAGCCTGGATTTGTGTGGCCGTGCTCTTCCACCCATGGATTAAAACCAGGGAGCTCTGCGCTTCCTTAGGCATATCCAAACCTTTGGAAAAAGTCTCATTTCCCTTAAAAATACAGAATGCTCCAAGGGACTGCATGGAAAAGGATCTGAAGTATTCCCAGCCTGGAAAAATACTGCTGTAAAATCTCCTGGGACCTCAGGCAAAGCACCTGAATCAAATTTGTTGTGCCAGGTTATTTAATTTCCCTGGATCTTCTTCCAGGACTCCCCTGATGATGGCTTGCACCAGGAAAAACTTGGGAGTGATCAAAACTCTGGTGGAGCACGGAGCCAACCCGTTGTTGAGGAACAAGGATGGCTGGAATTGCTTCCACATTGCCAGCAGGGAAGGGCATCCCCAAGTGCTCCGGTACCTCCTGGATGTGTCCCCAAGCTGCTGGGACACGGAGAGCACCACGGGGAGAACTCCTCTGCACACAGCAGGTACAGCAGGGGAAACCTCTGGAATCT